TTCACCTTTTAAGTTGCATTACTGAAATAAATGAACTTTTGCACGATATTCTAATTTTTCGAGTTTCACCTGTATGTGCATATATGCACATATGTGCTAGTCATTCCCGACTCTAGGCTCATCTCCATTTCAAAGCTGAAGAGCCAGCGCTGTCTGAAGACATCTCCGTGGTCATGTGGCCAGCATGACCCATGGAGCACTGTTACCCTCCCACCAAATTGGTCCCTATTTTTCTACTTGCATTTTTTATGAGCTTTTGAACTGCTAGGTTGGCAGAAGCTGGGACAAGTAACGGGAGCTCACTCCATTATGCGGCACTAGGGATTCAAACCACTGAACTGCCGACCTTTCGATCGACAAACTCAGCGTCTTAGCCACTGAGCTACTGCGTCCCTGAATAATTTCACCTTACACAAAGCTATTTCTCCTTTTGGCATTTGGGTCTTCCCAGATGACCAGAGAGAATCTGCAAAGTTCAAGCATCTCTCAGCAGAACCATCCGAGATAGAATCCTTGTGTAGCCCATCAACCCGATGCTTGGCCTTAAGTAAAGTTGGATATTCTTGCTGCCTTATTCCAACACCTCACAGGAGTGCTGGGAAGTAGTTAAAAGATTTCCAAAATCTGATCGACCATCCTCAAGTGGTGCACAATTAATAGTGCATTGTGGGACCACATCAGGGGTGAAATCCAGCATGTTCTGACAGGTTCTGGAAACTCGTAGTGGAGATTTTGAGTAGTTCGGAGAACCGGCAAATACCACCTCTGCCTGGCCCTGCCCCCAATTTATTCGCTGCCTCCCGAGTCCCTGCATCCAAAATGGGCCACGTGGGGATTCCTGGTGGGGAGGTCAGCCAGGAGTGGGATTTGGGGGTTCTCTGAATTGCACAGAACCTTAGCTAGAGGTTCTCCCAAACCCCTGCAAACCCCCAACAGCCCACCCCTGAGAATATCCACTGAGTAAAATTTCAGTATTTGCTTAGCTTATTGTCAATCCTTACGTTGAGGAAAACAGACTTCTTATGAAAATGTGTGTATTTGATAAAGGTTTTTCTCAGATCTTTTGAAAAAGATTCAGATTTTTTTTTTTTTTTGCTAAGAATATGTCTGCCACCTACTGTTCAGTCAAGTGCTTATATTAATAATGTTTAAATAATAAGAATTCAATTGCCAGTTGAAATGCCTTTGTTAGTAAATCGAAACCAGTTGAGTAAACTCTGTAAACGATTTATGCAGTGTTGCAAGCGTAATTTTAACAGACTTTCAGAAATTTGCTTTCTTCAAAAGCTGCAAGTGTTTAGTAAGCCTAATATTCTTTATCTTACTCCTGAATCTTACAATAGTTCATTTAGCAACCAAAGTTACAACAGTTCTGAAAAAGTGATTTATGACCATTTTTCACTGTTAACGACCTTCGAAGCGTTCCCCCATGATCATGTGATCAAAATTCAGATGCTTGGCAACTGCTTCACACTTATGACTGTTGCTGCGTTCCAAAGTCACGTGATCCACTTTTACGACCTTCTGATCAGCAATGAAGCCAGATTCAGTTAACAACCAGGTTACTAAGTTATCAACTGCAGTGATTTGCTTAACAACTGTGGCAAAGAAGGTTGTAAAATGGGGCAAAGCTCACTTAACAAATGCCTCGCTTAACAACATAAATTTTGGGCTCAATTGTGGTCGTAACTCGAGGACTACCTGTAAAGCTCTCTACACTACAGGATAATCATTTTGCGACCCAGATTCATAAATACCCCCCAGATTCTCTCTTGCAGCCCTTATGATTATTGCCACAGAACATTGATGACATGGTTTCCTTCTATTTTGAGACACAGATGCACAAAAAGGAGCCTTCGGATAGGCTTAAAATAGCTTTAGAAATTTAACAACTGTTTTCGAGCTCTGGGAAAAAAACCAAAAATCCCATTGATGGTCATGCATGTCATTACCCAGTCTTCAGGCTGCTTTCGTGGTTGGACTTCTAAAGAGTTGGCCAGCTTACTAGGAAGAAAAAGTGGTCTGAAAATGGTGGAGTTTTCACACCCACCTCTATATAATTTGAATAAACCTCTGATTTACAAGGAATTGTTGGATGGTGGGGGTAATCTTAGATCCAAAGTGGACCTACAATTACGGGGAATCAATTTGGACTGGTGGGCATACGTACAAATTCAAGCAAGGTACCAAAAAGATAAAGCTAATGGGGGGATTTTTACTTCACCACAAGAGTTGGATAAGGCCCTCCTGGAAGGTGATAAGAAATGCATCACTAAGGAATACAATCTCCTCCTGTCTCAATCGGTAGCCGATGAAATAGTTAAAAGACTCGATGATAGCCTGCGGGAGGAATTTCGGATACTCATTAGATGTGGGAAAATGACAACAAATATGGAATAGAAACGCAAAAATGACGATCGCAGTGTCTTTCAAAGAAAATATATTTAAAATGTTATATAGATGGCATATACCACCAGCAAAAATCGCAAAGATGTTTCCTGGAACTCCAGCAGAATGTTGGAAATGTGGGTCAGCCAGGGGTACATTTTACCACCAATGGTGGACATGTGTACAAGCTCAAAACTATTGGAGTAAGATAAAGGACTGGCTCATAGAGATTACAGGAATTAGCTTTCAACGGAGATCAGAGGTTTACCTATTAGGAATAAACCCGGGGGAGAAAATAGATTGGTACTTTTTATTCATATTACCACTGCAGCTAGAATTGCATATGCGCAATTGTGGAAAGTGAAAGAAGTACCATCGGACCAGATGATTATTAACAAAATTTTGTGGTGTGCAGAATGTGATAAGACTAACATATATTCTTAAAGGTAGACATGAATCAATATTTAATCAAAGCTGGGATAAATGGTATAAATGGATAGAAGTAAAAATGATATGAGGTAGATGTTAGGAAAGCACATAGCACAGATTTGAAAATAGTAAGCTAAATATATATATAAGGTAATATTAGATACAAGAAGACTAATAAGTGCAAGATGAAATATGATAAATTTAATTGAAGCGATAGTATGATGATATGTAACTTTACTTAGGAACTGTATGTATATGTGGGTTGAATCAACCTCAAGCGTATGTATGTGATTTTGTTTTGTTATTGTCTTCTTTCTGTCTTTTGTTTTTAGTTTATAATAATTTTTTTTTAAAAAAATGGTGGAGTTTGTACCCGGGACAATAAAATTGCTCAGATTCCAAGCCACCAATCATTTAATATTTCCATTCATATCTCCTGTGATTTACTGCAAGAAGGAGGAGGAGGAGGAGGAGGAGGAGGAGGAGGAGGAGGAGGAGGAGGGAGGAGGGGGAGGAGAAGAAGAAGAAGAAGAAGAAAAGAAGAAGAAGAAGAAGAAGAGAAGAAGAAAAGAAGAAGAAGAAGAAGAAGAAGAAGAAGAAGAAGAAGAAGAAGAATTGTTTGATGGGCAAAGATCTTTTTCTCTTTCCACTTGGTGGATCTGAGGATTGGCTTGATGATTAAATTAGAGAGAAGGAAAAGATCATATTAAATCCTTTTACATTTCTTTCTGGATTAAGGTCAATCAATCAATATTTATTCAGTCAAGGACCAGCAAGTTTTTAAAAAACAGAACCAACAAAATTAAAGCAAAAATAAATAAATGCAATAAATTGTTGGTTGGTTGGTTGATTCTGGACTAAGATTATAAAAATATCTGACCAAAGTAGTAGTAGTAATAGTTGAAGTAGTAGTAGTTTGCAACTGTTTTTTTTTTAAAGAATTTATTAAGCCTTTTTTTAAAAACAAACAAAAGGAAAGCTTTAACACTTTTTCTTTTTCAACAGTTTCACATCCGACAAAAATTTCATAGTTATATATTTTTTCCCTCCCTTATTTCTACTATATCATTTATACATATACTTCTAATCTTTGTTTATTTACATATATACATAACAATACCCATGTACCCACTTTCATTTCTACAATTTTTGTTTCCTCATATTAACAATTATATTTCAACTCCTATTTCTACCATTATTTAATTTTTTCCTTTCCTTTTATCTCTCTCCTCCAACCATTCATATCATTTCTCCCACACTAAGTAATATTCTGTTTCCTCTTTTTCTTGTATCTCCTTTGTTAATTTATCCATCTCCGCACATTCCAAAATTTTTCTAATCAGATTTTCTTCCGATGGTATGTTGTCATTTTTCCAATTCTGAGCATAGATTATTCTTGCTGCTGTGGTAATATGGATGATTAAATATTGTATTTCTTTTTTGTATGAGCCTGGGAGTATTCCTAATAAAAAATGTTTCTGACTTTATCTCTATCTTTTGTTTGGTTATTTTTTCTAATTGTGATCTGATCCTACTCCAATATTGTTTCGCTTTGGGGCAGGACCACCACATGTGGTAATATGTTCCCTTTTGCTGTTTGCATTTCCAACACATTTGTGAGGTATTGGGAAACATCTTTGTCAATCTGGCTGGTGGCAAGTGCCACCTGTAAAACATTTTATACAAATTTTCTTTATAGGATACAGACATTGTCTGTTTATAATTTTTGTTCCGTAATTTCTCCCATCTATCTAATTCAATATTGTATCCGAAATTTTTCTCCCAAATTATCATATTTTCTTTAACTACCTCCTCTTCCAATTTGTATCTTAATAAATAATTGTAGGTTTTTTTTTTTGATCAATTGTTGTTCCCAGCCTTAACCACCTCATCATTGTCAAGGTAAAAGAAAGGGGGCAGCTGCCATGTCATGCTCTTAGCATGTACATCAATGGGCCTCTGACTCTTCTGCAGCTTTCTTGCATGGCCCAGAGAGCTGTCATGGACAAGTGTGCAAGCCTTTCGCCCAAAATGTCAGAGGGTGGGTGCCATGAACAACTCCCACCTTCTCTTCCACCGCCTTTCCTGCCTCTTGTTTGGCAGATGTCACCTTGCCAACGCTGTGAAAAAGCAGGACATTAGGACCCAGAGGCGGCTGAGCTGAAGAGGCATTCCCCTCTCTGCTTTGTGTCATCCTCCTGGATTTCTGCAGCCTTCCGCTCCCCGCACCCCCCACCCATCTCCTTCCATGGTGACTGACCATCCCTTGACATAGCCAAGGAATCAGAGCAAACGGGGAAGCTGCAGCATCCTGATGGGAATGGCCTCCCCTCGAACCGTCACCATCGTGGCCCTCTCGGTGGCCCTGGGGCTCTTCTTCGTCTTCATGGGGACCATCAAACTGACCCCCAGGCTCAGCAAGGATGCCTACCATGAGATGGTGAGTAAATACCAGTGGTGGTGGTGGTGGGGAGACATCTTGCCAGCTGGCTGCACTGTTATGATAGGAGCTTGGACATGAAGGACAGTTGGAGAGGTGCAAAAAGGTGGACGGAAATTACCACCCAACCTTCTCGTCTTCCTTTGCTCAGGAATCTCTCTTCCCATCTTCCATTTGCAAGGTTCCTTTGGCGTTCCCTTCTTCCTAAGGCAGGCTCCCCTGCTATCCGATGAAGAGGGAGACAAAACCGGTGGGCTGTAAAAAGAAGGGAAGGAGAGAAAGCAGTGGCAGAAGCATCTAGAAAGACGTTCTACAGCAGAAAGGACATCTTTATTATGTCCAGGAGGAAACAAGGTGGACATAATTTAAACGGTTTTGGTGTTGGAAGGAGATGAGACAGCAGAGGGCTAGTGATGGATGGGTCTTTGCCAGATGCAGAAGAGAACTTCTTCCCCTCCAAAGTGATTGTTTATTAGGGCGAAGAGAAGGTGGCCCAGATAAATCTAGAAGAACCTCTGCTCCACGGGTTGTTTTGACAGACTCACAAATAGTCCCATTATTTGGCTTTCATTTTCCTTGATAACCTGTTACAGGCACCCACATGGCTCAGGTTGCCTGCAGCTCAACGCAACCGTAATGTTCTCCCTCAGAGAAGCTTCTAGAAAATGACAAATCAGGGTCTTCCATCAGCCCAGATTATGCTGAAAGGAGACAGGCGTTCTTTTTTCCATCAGAAAGCAAGTCTATTTCCAGCTTTTTCTATGCATTTTTTTTTCTCAAGGAATCTGGTGGTGAGATCCACTTGCGTGACAATGCAGACAGTCAATCCATGAAGGAGTTTATTTTATTTTATTTTTCGTCTCTTACAGGAGGTCACTCAGAATGCAGTAATGTTCACTCATAGGACATTACTGAAATGGCCAGACTTGTAATTTCTGGGAACAAATAATAGTGGAACTTTCTAGCATAGTGATTTCTCTTCTCTT